TTCTTCTGATGAGTAGTTCTTAATTTAAATGTTTTCGATTAAAATTTCCCTTAATATTTTTTTGTGTCTTGTTTAAGAAATCCTATCCTTATATTTGTGTTTAAAAAGACAAACTTCTATGTTTTCTTATAAAAGTTTTAAAATTTTGCTTTTCATGTTTAACGTCTTAATCTAGAAATTTATGTATGGTGTGTGGTAGGCTTTCAATTTCTTTTTTTAGTGGATATACTGTGGACATAGTATTTGACTCAGCACTATTTAATTGTAATGTTGTGCAGTTTAACAATCTTTTTCCTTACTAGTCAGTGCTTTTTTGTATCCTGTTTAAGCAATACTTTCCTATCCCAGGTTCATGAAGATATCCTCTTCATGTTTTATTCTTTAAGTTTTATTGTTTTATCTTTTCACATTTAGATCTTTATAATCCATGGGTTATTCAGAAGTATGTTGCTAAATTTTGAAGCAGTTGTGAAACTTTCTAGCATGTTTCTTTGTCCTCTCTCTTTGTCCTCTCAATACTATAAATTGGTAATTGGATCTACGGTCTTAATTGTATTCAGGGTTTTTGTGGTTTTTTGACAGTACTGCTTCATAGGTTTGTGTAACGTTTTTCCATTAAGAGGTAGATAGTATCTAGTTGTCTCTTTTTATGATACTCCATGCTGGATCCATTCCTTGTGAGTTGCAAAATGATGTTCTAGTTCAGTTATTTTTAAATTTATGAATAAGCTGGTATACTTCTATAAAGAGAAGCATCCCCTACCTATTATGTGGTAAAGTAGCTGCAGGAGATCAGCTCACTTCCAAGTTGCTTCCCTCGCAGGGGTCACCCCTGTGGTCCCTGCCACCCTCAGTGGCTCTCCGCTGCCTTCCAGCTAACAGGGTGTGTGTTTTCTCTGGCTGTTGGGACGGTTACAGGTGGGAGGGCCGGTCTCCCCTCTGAACCTGGGACAATTTGTATCCCTTTTTAAAACCTTTTTAGTCTACATTATCAGGCACATGCAGTTTGAGAATTACTATGTTTTGGTGAACTTAACCCTATATAAAATAATGCTTATTGTTTCAGGTCTGTTTTGTTGAATGCTTACAGCTGTTCCAGCTTTTTTCGGGTAACATTTTCTTGATGAATCTCTTCTGTCTCTTCATTGTCTACCTGTTTATTATTTCTATTTAAGGGTGTTCCATGGAAACAACATAAGGTTATTGTTTTAAACCTAGCCTTTCTTTTTAGATAAACTAATTTTTCTTTTTGGGTACTTTTGATATCATCATCTCTTTTGTTTTAATTCACTGGAATTTGTGTGTGGCTATCTTTTGTCTTTCTTACCGAGCTGTATGTCTGCTTTCTTTTAGTATGGATATAGCTGTGTGGTTTGCCTTTATCCATAGAGGATTTTGCTTTTGCCAGGAGTGCTTATTGTATACAAGCCTGTTCCTGTTCTGGCACTTAATATGCGAGCTCCCCCACTGAGCTGCTGGGTGGGGGGTGGAGGGCAGGCTTAGGTCTGCAGCCCACAGTGGCACCTGACTCATGATGCTTACTTTTCTGTAGGTCTCACTGCGCAACCCAAAGCCTTTTCCAGTTTTTTTACCCTTTAATTTTTTTCTGGAACTTCCCTCACCTCTGATATCAGCTATGCAACAAAAACGATTTTTTTGTGCACGATTGAGTTGTTTTGCAGCAGATGGCTCTATGTAGTAGTTTGCATACTAACCTCTGTCTTTACATATGCTGTAAATGGTTCCTTGCAGCCTGTCATTTGTCTTTAACTTCACCTTCAGTATAGAAGTTCTTTAGTATTTCATAATTCTCTTGTGGTAATCTCCTCTCTAACACCTGAATTGTATGCCTTTTATTGTTCTTTAACCGGAAATTTTGTGATTATCATTTTTTGCATTTTTTTCTGTTAATTTTTTTCTCCTTTTGGGATTCCTGTCAGTATAGATGTTGATGCTTCTAATTCTGCCTTCCATTTCTCTATTATTTCCTCTCTTCTGACTTTGGTAATTTGACTTTTGGCGATTAGATGGATGTCCATGAGTTCCTTATTTGAGCCATTACGTTTTATACCTAGTCATTCTGGTTGGTTCTTCTTATAGCTACTTGTTTCTTCTTCATATTACCAATAATCCTTTTTTTGCTCTCTGAGGTATTTTTAAATACTTATTGATAATCTTTTAGTATTTCATTTTGTTTCATCTGATGGACATTGTTGCATTTAATTGTCTTTTTTTTATTGTAGTTGTGTTTATCAGATTATCATTTCTTTTCCCCATCAGCTCACATTCCCTCAGGGATACCAGTTACTTTGGCCAGTCATGGAGTAATGTGGAGGTGGGAGTAATTTAAGCCCCTCCTGGTGAGTAGGGGTAGGAAGAATGCTGTTAGTGTTATAGTCTAGGACACCACCATTGGACAAATGTCCCTTCTCCCCAACCAGGTGACTTGGTCTCTGAGGATTCTTTTAGTTCCTCCGCCCTTGGCTGTCTTTGGTGTCATCACTCCTGGGAGTAGGAGTGGGGAAGGGGATGACTGGGGACCAGTATTTGTCTTCTCAGCTCCTCAGCCTGACCTCTCTGCTTCTGGTCAGTTCTACTCTTTTTCCACCCCATAGCAATGACAGAGTAGGTAAGGTGATTCACCCAGAGCAATTTAGATGGAGGAGAAAACACCTAGAAAGTTCTCCTTTAGCTGTACTCCCCTTTTGCAGATTTGGTTTGCTTCCCTTCTAAACCTCCATCTCCCTTCTCACTCCGCTACCCATTCCTGGAACTTAGAGATTTCTGTTGTTCATATAATAACAATGACGTAGAGCTGACCCAGCTGTCCACTGGCAAGAGAGTAGATAAAGAAGATGTGCTATATTCAGAATTTAATGTTACACAGCTGAAAATGAATGAACAAGTCTTAGGAACCTAACTGAGTTAAAAAAGCAAACCCAAGAAAACCACATATAACACGAGATTGTATTAAGCCAAGAAACCTGCAAAGAATATATTATTTGGGGATGTACGAAAATGTGATGAAACTCTTGAAAAAGAGAAAAAGGGGCTGTAAGCATATGGTTCAGGAGAGCTGCTATCTCTTGGGATGGAGCAGACTGGGGAGGGGTGATGAGGTTCCTAAGTTGCCTGGGGCTGCAGCTGATTGATTTATATATGCTCCATAATTTATGTATAACATGTAATATTTTTACATACAAAAATATATGCTAGAAATCATTGGCATGACCAAAAAATCTTTATCTGAACATTCTTCTTATGTTGTATGTGTATCAGATATTTTACAAATATAGCTCCTTAACATTTACCTATATCAACACAGAATACAAAAGTAAGCAAAATTGGAAGATCTACAACATCCATATTGAATTTGTAAAGAGTTCACAAAGCATTATCCTTCAAACTAAGTAAAAAACATAAATGCTAAGTATGTGTTTCTAGATTATTCACTGGACTTTATTTCCAAAAAGCAATCTACACATTCAGTGAGTGCAATCCCTATCAAAATGACACCAGCATTCTTCACAGAGCTAACAATCCTAAAATTTGTATGGAACCAGAAAAGACCCCAAATAGCCAAAGTAATGTGGGCAAAGAAAAGCAAAGCTGGGGGCATCACAATCCCAGACTTTAAGCTGTATTTCAAAGCTGTAGTCATCAAGACAGTATGGTATTAGGTGTCTGGGTGGCTCATTTGGTTAAGTGTCCAACTTCAGCTCAGGTCATGATCTCGCAGTCTGTGAGTTCGAGCCCCATGTCGGGCTCTGTGCTGACAGCTCAGAGCCTGGAGCCTGCTTCGGATTCTGTGTCTCCCTCTCTCTCTGCCCCTCCCCCACTCACACTCTGTCTCTGTCAAAAATGAATAAATGTTTTAAAAAAGACATTATGGTATCGATACTGTTTTTTTTAAGTAGCAAGCTCTTCTACCACACTTCTTGCCAGGTCAGTAGCACAGGGTAAAATAAAGTTTTCCCTGCTGCTCTTCATGCATGCTGTGACTTCCTTTATATAATAAGTATATTTTCTTTGTTTATCAAATTTTCATTTAAATTCCAGTGTAGTTAACATACAGTGTTATATTGGCTTCAGGTGTACAATATAGTGATTCAGCACTTCTATAATAAGTACATTTTCATCATCACATTTAAATTTTGTTTACGTACCAATCTCCAGTCACGTTTAGTTAAATGCATTCTGAAAGAACCACGGCTTTGTTTCTGTATCCTTAGTTTGTTTTGTTGCAGATTCCATTGTGATTTGACAGGGACCCCACATTTGCACATTTTTCCATGCAAAACATTTTATGACCTTGGGCAGCCTCTAATCATCACAGAAAAGAGCTAACCTTCAGTGCCAACAAAATAAAAAATGTTTCATTCTTTCTTCTAAGTAACTCTGAGTGTTTTCATTATATTTTTATCTCTTATTTTCTTGTCAGTGACATTGATGTCACTTGGGACAGTTGCTAGTAGTTTCGTTTTTTAAGATTAATTTTTAATAGATGTTCATTTTTAGAGCACTTATGGAGCACATCTCCATAGCACAGTTGAACAGAAGGTACAGAGGTTTCCCATACACTCTGTGCCTCCCCAAACATGCAGAGCATCCCCCATTCTCAACAGCTCAACAGCCTCCACCAGAGTGGGACATTGACTACAATTGATGAGTCAAGGGGCTCCTGGCTGGCTCAATGTGTAGAGCATGTGGTTCTTGCTCTAGGGGTCGTGAATTCGAGCCCCATTTTTGGCATAGAGCCTAACTTAAAAAATAAATGAATGATGAACCAATACATAATAATAATAATATATTTTTATTAACTAAACTCCCTAGTTTACCTTAGGGTTCACTGTTGTGTTGTATATTCTGTGGGTTTTGACAAATGGATGATTTTAGCAGTCCTCAAAAAGATATCGATAGAAAATGCAAAGCCAGTAAGACTGTGTCCTAGGGTTTTTCTTGCCTGCAGAACACTAAGTCAACCTTTTTCTTATTCACAGGCTGAAAGGTCAGATTCCTGAAATTAAGCAGACATTAGAAATTCTAAAATACATGCAGAAGAAAAAAGTAAGTGCATTTTTGTTTATAAATGTGAATGAACCAGAATACTTCAGCAGAAATTCATCTTCCTTGACTCCTTGGTTACTGGTATTTGAATGTGCTGGTAGATCCAGTCTGCCGCCTTGATTCTTATGTACATGTGCAGTGTGCTTCTGTGATAAATGTGGCTTTGTGGCTTGTTTTTCCAAGTCAGCTTTAATTTTAGGGTCTACACATCTTGGATTATTTTACTTATATGGAGTATTTATAAAACTTAAATGCAATTTGAAATTATTTTCTTTTTAAAATTTTTTTAATGTTTGTTTATTTTTGAGAGAGACAGAGCACGAATGGGAGGGAGGGCAGAGAGATAGGGAGATGCAGAATCTGAAGCAGGCTCCAGGCTCTGAGCTGCCAGCACAGAACCCAACGCAGGGCTTGAACCCACAAACTGTGAGATTGCAACCTTAGCCAAAGTCAGACACTTAACCAACTGAGCCACCCAGGCACCCCAAAATTATTTTCGATACAAAAAGAAAATACCTTATTTTGAGGTAACAGCATCTAAGGGTTTTTGTTGTTGTTGTTCTCCCTAAGAATAAGGAGTGAGTCCAAGATTTACAGATCTGCAAAGAGTCTTAGAAGTTATGTTTTGGGTTCTCATTTCACAGTTGAGGGGACCATTACAGAGAGGTTACACTTGACCAGTGTCACATAGCTGGTTATTGGCAGAACTGGATTTGAAAATGTGCTGAGTCTTAATCCCATACTCATTAGAGGCTATAAAGATTAAATTTTATAAGCATATTATATTTAATAGATTATATGTATGTGTATATGTATATGATTTATTACTTGACAGGATAACTGTATTTCTAATACATTATTTTATGTGGTGAAGTTTTTTTTAATATCATTTATTGTCAAGTTAGCTGACCTACAGTATATATAGTGTGCTTTTGGCTTCGGGAGTAGATTCCCATGATTCATCACTTACATACAACACCCAGTGCTCATCTCAACAAGTGCCCTCCTCAGTGCCCATCACCCATTTACCCCTCTTCCTCACCCCTACCCCCATCAACCCTCAGTTTTTTCTCTGTATTCAAGAGTCTCTTATGGTTTGCCTCCCTCTCTGTTTGAAACTATTTTTCCCCTTCCCTTCCCCCATGGTCTTCTGTTAAGTTTCTCAAATTACACATATGAGTGAAAACATATGATATCTGTCTTTCTCTGACTGACTTGTTTCACTCAGCATAATATCTTCCAGTTCCATCCACATTTTTGCAGATGGCAGGACTTCATTCTTTCCCATTGCCAAGTAGTATTCCACTGTATCTATAAACTCATGTGGTGAAATTTGTAAGAAACTTCAGAAAACTGGTTGGTTGGGCATGAAGCACTGATGAAGTAATAATTGCTGACTCTTGCATAGCACTTACTTTGTGCCAGGCACTGTTGTGTGTGTGTGTCTGTGTTTGTGTAAAGTCTGCTTGCTACAGCCTTCAGAGACGTAGGGACAATTTTCCTAATTTTACAGACCAGGAACCTGAGACACAGAGAGGTCAAGTGAAATGTTCAATTTACACAGGTAGTAAGTAGCTGATCCAGAATCCATCCCCCCCCACACCCAGGTGTCTGGCTCCAGCGTTCATTTCTATTGCCACTACACTTAGTTGGCGTGATGGTACAGTTTTCAGTGACTTAGGTTCAGATCTGTGATCTCTCCTTTATAACCTTTTTAATTAAACTGACCTATTTACAGTACTGTCATTTTTTTCCAAGGAGTCCACCAGCTCACTGGAGACTAGATTCTTACTGGCGGATAACCTGTATTGCAAGGCTTCAGTTCCTCCTACTGATAAAGTGTGTCTGTGGTTGGGGGTAAGTAACCGAAAATGGCCACAGCTTTCTTGGCTTACATTTGTAAACCAGCATGGTTTTCCCGGCATAGCAGTACTGTTTGAGCTGGGTAAAGTGCCCATCTGTCTTTGACCCTGGAAGGAACAGAGGTGGAGTTCAAGGGGTCTGTACTGGAGACGGACTGAGGTGAGGAGTGTGGTGAGCTGCACAATATGCTCGGGTCTCTCCTGGTCAAGACAGAACTACCTGAAACCCTCATCCCCTTCCTCTGGTGCTGTATTGTTTAAATGTAACAGAAGGAAGAGCAAGAGAAGTAAAATGGAAAGGACTGTTGAACCTCCGATAAATGTTTCTTCCCCATAAGAGTTTATTAGTTCTCTCTAAAATTAAGGGGAAAAGATGATTAAAAAACCTTGAAAATGGAGTCCATTTTTTAAACCATATATTTCAATTTTAGACAATTTCATAGGCCTTGTCTGTGATTTTTCCTGCCTTACTCCTCTCAGTCGCCTGACCAGACATCCAGGCCATTCCTGATGGGCCAGGTAACTGTCCACAGGTGTCATTACCCCAGGCAGGTTCTCATACAAAGTAACAAGCTACGTGTACAGCTCCAAAGTGTAGAGATTTTCTGAAAACTAAACAGTAATAAGAGACAGTGTCAGTTGACTCGGGAATGAGATTGGGGTCTGGGATTTAAGAGACATGTACTTCCATTGAATTTTTTTTTGTCCTATTCGAATTTGTATACAGTTTTCTAACTGTCACGGATTGGGTTATTCAGTCAGTAAGTATTTATTTATGTAGCACCTACTTTGTGCCAGACACTTTCATATTGTCTGTCTGATTTAATCCTTACAACCATCTTTTGAGTAATTTTTAAATTCCATTTGTCAGATGAGGGAAGTGGTTCAGGAAATGCCCAGTGTAAGTCAGGTGATGGGAAGAGTTCAGTGCTGGAGGAGGTTTGGTTCCCCACCTCCAGAATGCCCGCATCTCTAAGTGTAGGCAGTAACACCAGAGCTTCAGAATTCAACACAGTCACTTTGTCTTTGCTCCTAACATCTGTTGGAGGTAGGAAGGGGACAATAGGGGCTGCTGGGTGGTTCAGTCGGTTAAGCGTCCCGACTTCAGCTCAGGTCATGATCTTGCTGTTCGTGAGTTCGAACCCAACGTCAGGCTCTGTGCTGACAGCTTAGAACCTGGAGCCTGCTTCGGATTCTGTGTCTTCCTCTCTGCCCGCCCCCCTCTCAAATATAAATAAAATCATTAAAAAATATTTGAAGAAAAGGAAGGGGACAGTAAAAGCTTGCCATTACATTACTGGATCAAATTACATAATATATATGTATTTGAAAACTTTTAAGTTACTTAAGCTTAAGCTCAGAAACAACTTTCGTTTTTTAAATTAAATTAAAATTTAATGTTTATTTATTTTAGAGAGAGAGAGCACAAGAAGGGGAGAGGCAGAGAGAGGGAGGGAGACACAGAATCTGAAACAGATTCTGTTTCAGAAGCTGTCATCAGAGACCCCACGCGGGGTTCGAACTCACAAAATGTGAGATCATGACCTGGGCCAAAGTCAGACACTTAACTGACTGAGCCACTCAGTCGCCCCAGAAACAGCTATTTACATTGATTCAAATGTGGGGCACCTGAGTGGCTCAGTCGGTTAAGTGTCCAACTCTTGGTTTCAGCTCAGGTCGTAATCTCACAGTTTATGAGATGGAGCCCTGAGTCAGGCTCTGCACTGATAGTGTGGTGCCTGCTTGGAATCCCCTCTCTCCCTCTGTCTCCCTCTCTCAAACTAAATAAACTGTAAGAAAATAAATTGATTCAAATGTAATACAGTTTACTGTCATCATGGAGGTTGTAGAAAGATGGAATTTGATGTTTGATCATTGGTTTTTCTCTTAATTCTCCTGTTTACTTACTATCTATATTAGTGTAGGCAACCTGACCTCTTTGAGCCCACATTTTCTTAGCTGTAAAGAAGGTGGTAACTTGACTGACCAGGGTTGTTTATGAGGAATAGATGATGTAGTGTATGTAAATATATTCTCTAATCCAGGGATCAATAAACTTTGTGTAAAAGGTCAGAGAGTAAATATTAAAAAAAATGTTTTTAACGTTTATTTATTTTTGAAATAGAAACAGAGTGTGAGCAGAGAAGGGGCAGGGAGAGAGGGAGACACAGAATCTGAAGCAGGCTCCAGGTTCCAAGCTGTCAGTACAGAGCCTGATGTGGGGCTCGAACTTACAAACTGTGAGATCATGACCTGAACCAAAGTTGGATGCCCAACCGACTGGGCCGCCCAGGTGCCCCATGGTCAGAGAGTAAATATTTTGGTTCTGCAGACCACACGGTCTCTGTCACGAGTACCCAGCTCTGCCACTGTGGTGTGAACGCATAAGTGAATGGAGAATATCTGGAGTCCAAGAAAACTTCTAAGAAAGGGGAGCTAGATTTGGCCTAACCCCTGCCGACCCTGTGAGACACTGTGTGAATGTTGAGTAATTGTTGTGACTTTCTCTCTCCAGGCTAATGTGATGCTTGAATATGATATTGATGAAGCCCAGGCATTGTTGGAAAAGAATTTATCGACTGCTACAAAGAATCTTGATTCCCTTGAGGAAGACCTTGACTTTCTTCGAGATCAATTTACTACCACAGAAGTCAGTATCCTTTCTTTAACTAAAAGCAAAGGGAGGAAAAGAGAAAGATGATTTTCAACACTCTTATATGCATTACTTTGATGAGAAGAATATCCTTATTCCTGGGCTAATTTGAAGTTGCAGATTTTATGAGAGTGATAAATAACATATTTGGAACTAATACTGAAATAAGTTTGTAGATAGGTTAATCTGACCTGAGTTGTGAAGGTTTGGAAACCGCAAAATGCATAAGCGTTTTTCTTTCAAATATTTTTTCAAGATGCCTTCATAGCCAGTTGAATAGTTTAATCCGCAAGCATTTATTAAGGGTCTCCCATGTTGCTGCAACTGTGCTAAGCTGTATGGGGCACAGGATGGTGAGGGAATCAGTGCAAAAAAAGAGCGGCAGAGTCTTGCTGTGTTAGAACTAAACATGTATAAAGCTACATCATAATTTCATAGCAAAATATAAGTTCATTTCGTGTATGCCACGCCAAGGCAATATAAAGTTAGGGAAAGAGATATGAGCTGGAATTAGTGCAAAGAAGACTTGGGGAAGTTAGAACTTGGTTTTTTTTGAAAGGCAGTAGAGGGTTCAGACGAGCAGAGAAGAGAGGTGGAGGCAGGTGTTCTGCTTAGGGAGGGAGCAGCTGTATTGAAACCCAGCTCTGTGCCTCTCCTTTCTGACTTCTCTCTCCTGGTTCCTATTGCGGACACTGGTCCCACACACTCCCCAGGACAGAAACTCGGGAGTTGCTCTCCACTCCTCTTTCATCACCAAGAGCCAACCAATCAGCAGATTCTTGTCACATTTCCCTTGTAAACCTCTCTGTCCATTGTCTCCTTTTGGCCTTCCAGAACCTAGACTAAGTAGTTTTATAGTCTCTTTTTCTCCCATCTCTCCTTCACACTATCTCCAGTGTGAATTTACTGAGTCACGCATCCTATTTTTGCTCCTCTGGTTGCGCTAGAGAACTTCAGTGGCTCCCTGTTGCAGGAAAGGTATGCACAGAGGCCCTGAGTGAAGTGTCCCATACCGTCTTACCTTGTGCCCCTGACCTCTTCCTGCCCCAGCCTCCCCCACCCCGCCCCGTGCACCTGGGTTCCAAGTAGCCCCAATCGGTTCTCCTCCCTGCCCCCTGCCAATGTGCCACACCCTTTACATTTCCACTTCGTTCCTCCCACCTGGAACAATTTCCCCCTATTTATGTTTCTGTGGGTTACTCCTTCGTTTCCTTCCTAGTACAGCTCAAGTATCAGATCATTTCTATACCTGTTCAGATCCTCAGGGTGTTTTATTGTTTCTCTGTGCTTACTTAGCGCTTTGCACTCAGTACTTGGTTTTCTGTGCCAGGTCGGGAGCACTGCAAGCGTGGGAGCTGCACCTGTTCTTTTCTCCACGGCATGTGGCACGCGGCACACAGCGGCCGCTGAGTACTTGGGTGACGGAAGGCAGGCCTGGTGGAGGCCTAGAGCAGGGGCTGGGATGGGACTCGTGATGTGGAGATTTGATCCACAGAAGTCCAGGGAAATAGCTATCAAACTCGTAGAGGATAACATTGGAGAAAATCTAGATGGCCTGAGTTACACTGGTGACTTTAGGATACAACACCAAAGGCATAGTCCATGAAAGAAATCACTGATATGTGAGGGCCTACACAGGGTGGTGCTTGTGGAAAGGAAAATAAATTGAGTGAATGTCCTATTAAACCAAAGGGGGGGTAAGAGATGAAATTATTGATAATTGAATTGTACTAATTTAAATATTGCCTGTAAGGATATGGTGTCAACAGTCTTTGAAATTTCATGGATGAGGAGCTATCTTTAAAACTGTTGACAGTGTCAAGGACATGTTTTGTCAAGTATAAGGCTTCAGTTGGCTACATATGCTAAACAGTTGTTGACTTGAGGCCTTGACTTTGTATTGGTGGAATTTAGTTCCAGTATTTTCTTAGCAAATGGTATTCTAGCAAGATAGCTCACAATCCTAGCTGTTACCGGTATTTTGTGTGCACGATTTCTGATTCAACATGTGAGTGAATACTTACTTAGTCATTGCGTATGTTATCTTTAGAATTGCATTTGCATTTTCTTTGACAATTCTTGCAGATATGGCCAGGGTTTATAATTGGGATGTAAAAAGAAGAAACAAAGATGATTCTACCAAGACCAAAGCATAATGCTGGCAATTTAAAATGTGGTTCAGTTTTCAAAACATGTTATTTTAAGTACCCCAAAGTTTATCCCTAAAGGTTGACATTACTTTGACTGATTTTTTTGAACAGTAAGAGCGGTAGTTAAAACTTTAAAAAACAAGATAAACATTTTATTATAAAAACAAAGTTAGTTTCAAATATTTTGTGAAATTAGCAGTATTTTAATTTTTTTATTTCCAACAAAGTAAATGCTACTTTCATCTTTTTGTTGTTGTTGTCGGTCATAAACAAAGTCTTAGCTGGAATGGCTGAAAACTGTGAGGTATACTCTTGAACCTAATTCTGGACACTAGCACAGTTTACTTTTTCTTTATTGGCTGATATTACTCTTACTTGATGTAGTTAAACCAGTTTAGAGGTAGGAAAAGCACTTAGTTTAAATATTTCCAAACTTGTTTTCTTTAGTACATGTGGGGCTTTATGGCTCTCTGTTGCTGTTATTTGTCTTATATAATGGATTTTCATGAAGTGCTGCTTAGCCAATAGCTATCTATTATAATATTCTGTACTTTTAAGGAACTGGTAATTGGCCTTCCTAAGTAGTAAGAGGGCTATTGAGACGCTTTTTCTTACCCCATAGAAGTACACAGTGTCTTTGCAATGTCAACACAAGGGAGATCTTGGCCAACGTGAAACAACAAAATTCTTTAGCCTCTCAAAACTCTTGGCTAAGGCAATTTTGTATTTCTTAACAGTTCTCCAAAGCAGCTGAACAAAAATGTTAAGCTAAATATAAATCTGCAGTGGTTGAAAAGATTTGTGAGCTTTTTTTATTCATGATAAGACCTCATGGGAAGACTAGAAAATCCCTGTGGAAAGCCGTTGGTACAGTGGCTAACGCTGGATGTAGAGATTCTGGTAAAAACACAAATGTATTATTCCATCTCCATGTAGAGAACAAAATATACTCGTACAATGTTTTGTAGTTGTATTTCATGATATTAAAACATTGAAGTTAAAACTGTGGCCTGGCACCTTTTTTTCACATTATTCTTTCTAAAGTTAACATGTATCTTTTCACATATTTGTAAAGCACGTTTACTTCACCTTAAAACCAGCATGTCCCAAGAACTTATGTTTGTAGAAATAACACAGAATCCCTTTGGAAGGAGTACAGATCAGCAAACAATTGACTAGTTAAATCTGAAAGATACCAAAGTTCCTTAAGTCAGTTTTTTCATAATTTTAAATTTCCATATTTAATTTTTGAACTTTGTAAACATCTTGAGATATTTTAAGTGCTACTTTTCCCCAAACCTTGTTATGGTAAGTATAATGTCACAAAATGTCCTTGTTAATATTAGGACAGGAATGATTTGGTCGGTTGAAGTCCATGAAAATTGAACTGAATATGAAGAAATGCAGCTCTTTAGAGATATGAGTTAAAGCTTAATTCAACAAATATATATAAGCATCTCTGCCAGATCATTTCTCTTATACGGGTTTACAGTTTCAGAATAACATAACCATCCTGATTTGACATGATATTTTCAAGCTTAATATTAGTACAGTATACCCAGAGAGGATATGGGCAAAAGAGTCCCTTCAAAACTTGGTCTGAATAATAAGTGTGTTGGAAGTGAAACATATTGAACAATCTTCCCATTCACATGCTCTTTTGAGAAAATTTAGAAAATGGGAAAAAGAAATTCCATTTGTAATGGAATTACAATGCTTAACAATGCTGTGTCTTCCATTTCTTTTTTATGCATAAGTTTTTTAAAATATAACTTAAATAATTTTGTCTTTATAATTTTTATTCTACCTTTTTTGCTTAGCATGTAATTTGCTTATTTGTAGTGCTGTTATATTAACATCACTTTACTAGTTCCACAGTAGTATACTAATGGGTGAACTCTAGTAAACTGTGGTACACATTTACACATCTGGGTGTTTTTTTTTGTTGTTGTTGTTTTTTTAATTTTTTTTCAACGTTTATTTTTATTTTGGGGACAGAGAGAGACA